CTCTGCAGCCCCTGCCCTCCCCCTGACTCTGCAGCCCCCCGAGACTCCTCAGCCCCCACATCTCCACAGCCACTGCCCTCCCCTTGACTCCACGGCCTCTCCACGATTCTGCAGCCCAACTTCCAGGAACCCTCAAGATGGCAATGGGCATCTTCCCCACAACAGCAACAGCTCTCTTCCCCTCCCTAGCAATGCCCCTTCAGCAGCTTCTCAGAGACCTGCCCAAGGCTTAGATCCCCCACCAAAGATTTCCAGTAGGAAGGAGGGAGGGACACAGAGATGGCCCCCTCCAACTCGGTTAGGCGCTAAGCACACGGAGCATCACTTGTTGTCACGTCTAATCTGAAGAGCAGGAATCTGTCGGGATCTTAGAAGTCAGAAAAAGTGAGCACCACTAGGGGGCGTGAGTGGGAACAAGACGGGCCCGTGGCCGACACCCTTGGGGAGGACACCGTGTCTGAGCAGAAGGCCCGAGACCCCTTGTCCTCAGGCTGAGGAGGTCACTGACCAGTACGGGGGAGGCCGTGAAAGAAGCGTGAAAGGATGGAGCCAAGGCACCATCAGCTCACGGGCATTTCCTCACAGCCACAGAGCCCCACCGCGCTCCTGCCGGGCGGCTGCCTGCAAGAACAGAGCTCTCCGGCAGGAGAGCTGGCAGCTTAAGAGGTCTCAACGCCCCGAGGGCCACCTGAGCGTCCTGGGCACCAGGTGGCAGTAGCCAAGACCCCAGGCAGGCCACTCACCAATGGCTCTTTCAATCTTGCCCAGAACCTGGTTGTTGGGGATGGCCCGTCCACTCTCATAGTCAGCGATCACTTGCGGCTTCTCGTTGATTTTCTAGGGAGAAGACGGGCTCTATACACATCAGTTCATGAGGAAAGCCGTGAAACTAGGCCATGCTGGGAGGGAGGCGCCTGGGCAGCTGCCCCCGCCGCGCCCCAGCCCAGTGCTGCAGCAGTGGGGTTCCACACAAGGACAGAGCCACGTCGGTGTGAGAGGACCACACGGCTGCCCGAGGCCTGCAGGTCCTGGGACAAGGCCAGATGACACCTCCATGGTCACCCAGCTCACCAGGGGCCTTCCAAATACTGGCCGCCCGCCCCCAGCCCCAGCCCCAGTCCTGGACGCAGCAGGGGGCTGGCGGGACTCACCGTGGCCAGGTCCTTCTGTGTGAGCCCCTTGCTCTGCCGGCCCTGCTGGATCACCTTGCCCACCTCCAAGGTCACCCTGTCGTGGTGCAGTTCCTCTGTCTCCCGGTCCAACTTGGCAGTGTTCTTGGTGATTGAATGCTGTTTATTCTGGCCAGCAGCCCCTGGGGCAGGAGCGAGGCCAAAGCAAAGGAGAGGGTTTGGGAAACATCCAAAGACAAACCACTTCAGAGTGGTGGTCTCACCGGACACTCTCCTGCAGGGGAGACTTCACACATCTAAGAGCATGCAGTTCCAGAATGTTCTCTCAGTTATGGGAAGCAGGCAGGCAGGAGGTAGGTAACAAACCTCCTGACCTGCTGCCAACCAGGGCAGCCTTGGTAAGATCACAGCTATTCCCCACCTCTCACCTGCTAGCCGCCAAGCAGGCATCCTTCCTAAAGATGAGGATGGGCAGACCTCTGCCTCGCCGGCTCCTGACACCAGCCCCTGGGAAGCACTGTGCACACACGCTCACACACACACAGAGACACACACAAACCCCAACAGCACGGCTGCCTTTCATGACCGGGAACATGGTACCCACATTTCTTGGAAGTCTCCACATCTTCTCCTCGTCTCTGAGCTGCTAAAATGGCCTAGAAAATTAGAAGAGGTTTTCTGGTTGGAATGGGCCTCAGCGTGTCCGGCGTGCACCAGTTCAGCCCTGCCAGCCGATCAGCACACCGCCAACGACTAGTGCTTCTGGAAACACATGTGATGCTGGGTTTAACAGCCCAACCTTGTAGCATAAAACCCTGGACAATCAGCTATCCACGCAACTTGTGGCAAGCTGCCACCAAAGACAAGAAAAACAGTGAACTTCTTTTGTTGTTGAGAAAAATATGGTAAAGGATTCTTTTCAGAAATTCATATTCAAGACACAGTTACTTGTCTACCAGACTCTACTGCAAGAGCAGGAAAAAAGTCCAGTGTAGACATGACTTTGACATTAGTATCTGGCTCCCTCCTAATAAACCTGTGCATAAGCCTTCCCAAGGAAACCCGGGCCTCCCGGGACAAGCGTGATGCCCTTTGATCTGCAGTCACTGAACATTCACACGGCGTTCTCTCCTGACATTTCCATACTTGAAAAAAGTGACTTGTGAACTCCAGATTCACTTGTTCAAAGATGCTTTCTAGACAACTTGCTCACAAGACTACAGAAACTTACTGCGACTGAGCTTCCTTTAAAAGAAAAGGGGGGGAGGATCTGAATTTCACAGGAGTACTGATAACTCTGCAGGTCAAAGAATGTCCCTTTCTAAGGCAGGGGTCCTGCACCTGTGTCTCAGGCTCTCCCTCTGGGCCGCTTGAGGAGTAGAAACGGAAGGAGGGAGCGACTGAACTGCCTCCTCCCTTATCACACTGGACTCACAAATGAAGCTTGGGTGGGTCAACAATGCGGGGTGACCTGTTGCCCACAAGTATCTCCTGGGTATGTCCATCTTCTACCCAGCAACAGGGAAAAGCAGGGTCACCACCAGACGACCCTGGTCTGTAGGCTCGGCGGGATCCACGACACGTCTCGCCCCTGTCCCCAGTGCCCCCGCCCCAGGGCCTGTCCCCTCTGCGGCCTGTCCGCACCAACTCCCCCGCCTTTCCCCTCCAGGGCCTGTCTATACCCCCTCCCCGGTCTGTCCCCTCCGGGGCCTGTCCGTACCCCCTCCCCGGCCTGTTCCCTCCGGACCTGTCCGTACCCCCCACCCCCGGCGTGTCTCCTCCCGACCTGTCCGTACCCCCTCCCCGGCCTGTCCACTCCGGGGTCTGTCCGTACCCCCTCCCCGGCCTGTGCCCTCCCGGAGCTGTCCGTACCCCCTCCCCGGCGTGTCCCCTCCCGGACCTGTCCGTACCCCCTCCCAGGCCTGTGC